CCCCAAAAAAAAAAAAAAAAAAAAAAAAAAAAAAAAAAAGATTTCAATCTGTTCTTCCCTGGCGGCGCAGTGGTTGAAGAGTCCGTCTGCCGATGCAGGGGACGCGGGTTCGTGCCCCGGTCCGGGAAGATCCCTCATGCCGCGGAGCGGCTGGGCCCGTGAGCCATGGCCGCTGAGCCTGCGCGTCCAGAGCCTGTGCTCCGCAATGGGAGAGGCCACAGCAGTGAGAGGCCCGCATACCGCAAAAAAAAAAAAAAAAAGATTTCAATCTTAGATATTTAGAACTAGAAGCAAACTTGCAGATAATCTACTTTCTCTCTTTCATTTACATGTAAGAAAATTTGCACAAAAAAGATTAAAGTGGCTTACTCAAAGTTAGAAGGCATTTGGTGTGAAACTAACACTAGAACCTGGTCCTGTATGAAATCCACATTTTCACATACAGGTCTAAACTGGCAGAATTACTTGGACGCTTTCTAATTCATAATATCCTTTGCATTGAGGACTTCACGGCCCGGGGGTGGTGGGGAAATCAACTCTGTCCTTATAAAATTAAATGATAGCAGATCCAGGAACTGAATGAAAAAGTGGGTAAGCTGGGCAGGCAGGGAAATGGTTAGGCAACCAGTAAAGTCACTTTTCCTTTATCTTTAAATATTTTTAAATAAACTTTCGACAAGGGAATTTATAAACATTCATTAGTTTTCTTCGGGTGATAAAAAGCTTTTTAGATTCCACGAGCATCATGAAAACTATCCATACTGTAGCAGGAAGAAGTGGTTATTTTCTGGTTAAATCACTGTAATATATTTAAACCAGTAGCTCTCAATCTAGAGTGATTTTACCTTCCCCCTCCAATTCCCCACCCAGAGGACTTTTTGTAATGTTGGGAGATATTTTCAGATGTCACAGGTCGGGGATAAAGGTGCTACATGTCTCTAGTGCACAGAGGCCAGGGGTGCTGCTAAACACTCCACAAAGCACAACAAAGAATCAACCAGCTCACAATGTCAACTGTGCCAAGGCTGGGAAACCTTGATCTAAACCATCATATGTAGCCACAAATGATTCTTCTTTACAAAACTAAAATAATACAAAAAGAAGCCTAAACTAGCTACACGTCACTTGTACATTTATTTCAGCTTTTTATATTAAATATTTTCAGGGTGGGGAAGAATTTCAGAGCACTTTTTTAAACAGACACTCTTGCAGAGACGCTTGGCCTAGTTAACTAGTCAACTGGTCAACTCGGCAATGGAAACAGGAAGCACACAAACAAATTGAATCCACAATTAAGCAAGAAAAGTCACTTTTCCTATTAGCTGTGACCTTTTTCAGCAGCCACATTATGCCAAGGGAGACAGAATACTACACATTTTCATCATTCTGTTGTTAAAATACCTGTTAAAAATCATCAGGACCATAAAAAAGATTAGCATTGGCCATCTAATGAGCCTTAGCTCCACCCAGTCTCACCCTTCTAGTCTTAATCCTCTCTTTTTTCAAGTTAACATTTAGCCTAAGAGCAGAGAACTGCATCTTATCGTTACCAATAACTTAACCCCTGGCACCCAAGGGCCTCACAACATGGCCCCAACCTACCTTTCCAGTGTTTTCCCTTCATTCCTGCAACTCCATCTAGGTCCCAGGGGTTATCCACCTTTCTCTGATCCTAATGAACTCGAATACTTCTTTAAATAGGTTCAAGTTCTTCAACCAAGGCTATCCGGCTTCTGCCTCTATCATCCCACTGAAACGTCACTCTCTTGGGCTGCAGCTGCCTACACGTGCCCAATCCAAGGGGACGCTCAACCCTTATCTTATTATCTTATAAGACTTCTCTGCGGCAAGCTGACCACATTTTCCTTTTTCCATCACTCCCCCCCTAACCCTGCTCCCTCCTCCCGCCACTTTCCAGATGTTCTCTTCCAATTATCTTTCCATCCCCTCCACTCCTGCCTCAACTAAGCTGCTGGTTGTTCCTCACTTGGACTATATTGCAACAGGCTCACTGCTTCTGGCTGGGATAGGGTCCTTTTTCAGGCATCCTCCTGCACTGCTACCAGTGTGAGCTCTTTCAAATCCAGGTCTTATTATCTCGTTCACATACTTGAACTCTATCAACGACTGATGGTTCTCAGCCCGGCTGAAGTGTATACTGGTACCTATCCCCAAGCTCTCTTCTCTAGACCAGGAGGATCAGAGACTCTGGTGGTAGGAAGTGGAAGAGGAATCTAATGTGCAGCCAGGATGGAAAACCACTGAACTTTACTATAAAATTCAAACTTCTTAACGTATACAACTCTCAGGTGTGGCCTTGACTCACTTATTTATTCTCTTTGCTGCTGCTCCCAAACTGCCCACACTGCAGACATGCTGCACTTAGAATTCTCCCACATACGGCAGGATAATCTCATCCTACGATTTCGCCAACGCTGGTCCCTTCTTGACAAACCCAGATCTCCTCCATTCCCTCCAACTCCATCACCCCCACAAGGACACAAAGGTCACCCAGGCTCTCCTTTGCCTGGCTAACTCCTCTTTCAAGATTCAACTCAAAGTCACAGCCTCTAGGAAGCCTTCCTGGAAACCTCCCCACTGAGGGTGTGCTCTTGTGCTCCTTCTCCAAGAAGACTTGTCCTTTCAAACACCTATTCTAGGTCATTTACAATACTTTGTGTGTAGCAGGTACTTAATCAATGTTTCATTTCATTAATAGTAAATAGTAAGCACCAATATTTGCAGCTATTCCTGCAAAACACAGGGAAAAAGAAATGGAGAAAGAATGACATTCCTTGGACGTCCTGTCTTCTCTTTTGGCAGGTAGACTAGTTCAATTCACTATTGCACCTCCAGAAACAGCAAAGTTTTTCTGGAGCAACTCAGATGCCAAAGTCTGTCTCTTCTAACACCAACCCCCATCCGCAGTCCCCCACGGACCAGGCCAGCTAGGGCTGAACACAATGAAGGAAAGTCCTTGAGCATACCAGCACCTACTGACCCTCAGAAATGAGAAACATATCAACACCTTCATGGTCCCCTCTTCCCATACTGTGCACACCTCATTTTAAGTTAATTTTCAGGAGGGTGCCCTTTCTTTCCAAAATCAACTTTGATGCTCCAAATTACTGGTTTATTTTTGTCTTGTTTTATGGGGGGTGGGGGGGAGTAGCATGCAAACTTCCATATTTATTTAAATGAAACCAACCGTATGGTCTTTGAAATCGGTTCATGCCACATGGTACAGGGAAGCAGAGAAGACAGGTCTGCCAATCTTTGCTGTTTCTGGGCCACCTGATCGGGCAGGCCCACCCCCTAGACTTGGTCAATAAGCCCCAGATTACCCCAGCCCAATACA